ATCCTGACTTGAGCATTGAGTAGAATTCTAGAATACGAGTTTATGATTTACAAAGGAAATATGAGAGTCGAGAAAGACTTATGCTAATGTGCAATTGGAATAGTGGCGTTCATTTGGGGTAGATCGAAATAAGCATTCAAGAGCTCCTCATCCAATTGCATAGAACATGCTTGGAAAAGTAATACATTGAGATTTTATACACAACTATATGAGTGTGACATGATGAGAACAGCAAAATCTAATTTTGTGTTCAATATATTGATTTCAAGTAAAACATTAAGCAAAGAAGCATACATTTAAATAAAGTCTTTATTTGTATATCTATCTTTAGTTGTGCAAATTAAATGTTTTCAGAAACCGAAGAGGAGTTTTTCAGAAATTGCACAGGGGATGGAGACATTGCTGCTCCAGACCTTGGACTGATTAGGCAGATGCTGGATATAGTAAGTAATGTTGTATGGTATCCCATAAAGATGAGAACTTGTGAAATATGAATATAATTTGTATAAAAAAACCAAATAACATTGCCAGATGATGTTTAAGACTATAGGAAAATATTAGTTGGTCTTTAACATGTCATACTTGGTACTTGGTACTTGGTGTAACGGGCTAGTGTCCGCAACTCGACGTCAAGGCGCCTATTTTGCGTGTGGATATTTAACATGTCATTTAACTGACTATAAAAATTGTTAAGATATAGACCTAAATATACGGATGGTTCTCTTCTCACGCTTACCGTCGGTGCAGAGAGATCGGTATGTAGATTAATGTGTTAATCTACATATATAAATTGTAACTTTTTTATAAAAACAAACTGGCCTCAAAAGTTCATGGAAATTTATCTTTTTGCCAAGTTTTATTGGAATCGGTTACCGGAAAGTCAGCGAACCTGGATTCATCCCCTAGTTTACACCCTTAGAGCTGGAATATTTTCGTCAAATTTAAATGGGACTAATACTAAGGTATCCTCTTTCCAATAAAAAAAGAATCATCAAAATCCGTTCACAAATGCCGAGAGTAATCGAGTAACATACATACAAAAAAATACAGTCGACTTGAGAACTTCCTCCTTTTTTAAAGTCGGTTAAAAAATTACTCGAGTTGACATGCTACGCGCCGACTGTCAGCGCCGAGAATCGGTGGCGTGAGAAGAAAATCAGCCTAAGTTTCTGTTCTGGTATGTATATCTGCGGTTACGTTCTTACAGGTTCGAGAAATTGATGAATCATCAGATACGGAGGACGTTGAAAACCTCAATAATGTAATACAACTAAGTAAGCTTGATCCAATGACACCTGATTTCGTACCCCGAAACCTTGACCACACGTCACCAAAACTTAAAAAGTCACCCGAAAAAACACCACACAAAAAGAAATCTACAAGACAAAACCGCAATGTCGCTCTTACTTCAATTTTAGAACTAGCTGGTTCAATAGTTGAGAAAGGAATTGAGCAAAAGACACTGACAAATTCAGTAGATGTCTCCCCAAATGTGACAGCGTCTCTAAAAAAAGTGAATGGATGGTTGGAGGCTCAACAGAAGCATGGCACTGAAAAAAATTTATGCGTAGATCAACTTTCGAAGAAGAAAATAACTTCACCGAAAGAATCCGATAAATTTGTTAATTCCTTTAAACACACTAAGTTAGTACAGTCACTACCAAAAGATCCTAAGGATATACTAAGTTTAGATCCAAGTACTATGTTTAGGAAGAAAGTGTCACCCAAAGTTGCGGCAGTTGTTGAGTGTAACAAGACGACGGTAAAATCGCTGCAAGGGTGCGAGAAGTATGTGCCTTCATCAAATGCTGACGAGTACTACAAGAAGTACCTGGAACGTAGCAAGGTGCACGCAATGGTCCATGATGACGTATGGACTCGAGCAGAAAGACAAATGAAAGAAATTGATGAACGAAGGTTAGTGTCACATTATATATACGCACCGCGTTAGGCTGCTAACAGCACAACGACTGCATGAAGTTGATAACGACTTCACGTGTCCGTCAGTATAGCTGGACCAATCGAGATATACAAATCAAACTGCTCATTACCTAATTATATATATAACCTAGTTGCTACTATTTAGTACGTTTATTGACATATTTTCTACCTTTGCGCTAACGGAAATATTAAAGAAATAAAGTGGCCAGCCATTCTGACGTCAGGTTGGCTGGACCACTTTACATTTTTCATGGTTCTAGCAGTATATAATTTGCTTTTTTTTATGTAACTATTTACTATCTAATTTCTGCCTAAACATACTTTTTTTCACTATTTTAGGAAGCTTCTGTAAAAAGTTATTTAAAAAGAATAATAACACGCCTTTGCAATAGGTATCTTCTAAAAAGACAGTTTATCTTCTCCATATCTCCTTATTATTTTCTTTAAGAAAAAACATTGGGACGAAACGCATTTAAAGATTCATATCTGGCTGTGGTATTTCCGTTAGTTTATTCAAAATTATTACGAGAAAACCCGGATAGCCTAATTGTTTGACCTACCGTTTCTCGCTGCGGGTCGTAGGTTCGAATCCGGGCTTACACCTCTAAGGCTGCTAACGCTAGTCGTTAACAACTTCATGCAGTCGAGGTCGAGGCTGCATGAAGTTACTGCAAATATGCAGTCAATCTGTTAGCAGCCCAAGGCCTGATTTACTTTCTTTTCAGAGGAAAGACGACAGAAAAAAAAAACATTTATTTCACTACCACAACAAACCACAAAAGAACAAAAATAAAATTAAAGACTTGTAAAAAACACATTTTTGAATGTAAAAATTTATAAATATAAAACTAAGATCCTTACAGTTAGTAAGTACTTTCAGTTACTATTTACTGTTTCTCATTTTTAATTCTGTTCCAGACGACTTGAAGCCGAACTGTTCCAACAAAGCTACGCCGCTGCGCAGCTCGCCCAGTCACCACAATCAGCGCAGTCAGAAACTTCTAATCAAACATATACGATTTCCACCGAACCAGGCACCATTTTAAATGAATCTCCCGCCATGCGCAGATCGCCCGATATTTTGTCAGGCTCATCCACCATTTTGTCTGGATCGCCCGCCATTTTGAATGAATCCCCTGTCATTTCACCTGCACCGTCAGCCACCAAGCCTGTGCAAGGACCATGGGACTTGACCACTGCTGAAGAACAAAGTAAAGTATATTTTCTATATACTCATGAACTAATCAACCTCATATTCAAAAAACTAAATAAATTTTAACGCTTGAGCTTGAGTGTAGACATACACTTCATACTTGTTGGTAACGTCACAACCATAATGGCGCTGTATTTTGAAAACGATTTTTTATTACATGTTAGTAATAACTAACAAAATGCTGTGCTCTTTTTACGGTTTGAGGTTATCACTTGTCCGGAAAAACATTTGCCCGAAATGACGTTTGCTCGAACTTTCATAACCCTGAAAGCAATTTTTATAAGGTTTTTTTGGCATATTATAAATGAATTATTTTCTTTGCGACAAGCATCTAAAATTCTTAGGATTATGGAAATTTTCGTTTACGTTGAATTGTAATGTAAAAATTTTAAACATCGATTTTCAGTTTTGGTCGCTTCACGACGAAATACCGTCTCTTTAGAAATGAAACTAGTTTTTTCCGGATTTGTTTTTACAAACAAATCTTTTTTGTTTTGTTTGAAAATACAATTATACGCGGTTTATATCTGAAATAAAAAAAATGTTTCATTTCCTATGTGTAACAATCGCGAAAACCTAAGGCAGTTCGTCGAAGAGGATATTCCAAAAATAAGTACCTTGTTGCTGCTTTATGGCACCCGCGACATAGGGTTTCCCTAGTGCGGGGCTATGTTGAGTGTGTGCGTTACTTATTTATTTATTTTAACATAGGCGTTCTTGATCAATATTAATTGTCTGCATTAATTGCGAAACTGGCATTGGCTTAAGCCTAGTGGCCGCCATTAAGGAAATAATAATAACTTGATACTATCTCTTTTCCAAATTTAATTATATCTCCTCAGCTGTTTTATCGTGAAAGCTAATAAACAGACTTTTATACCGTGCGGTGACGGATTAGAATACAATTCACCGCCCCTCTCTTCCCGTGGGTGTCGTAAGAGGCGACTAAGGGATATTGAGCTACCAGCTGCTCCACTGGTGGTAGGGCTTGAAAACCCGGCTGGTTAGTGACCACCGTGCGCATGGTGGAAAACCCGCCAAGTGTTCGCTAGTCGGATGCGTTCCGGCATCAGTCAGCGTACAACCAGAGCCCGAGGCAACGCTGCCGCGACATTTGTGGTCTGTGGAGGCTTCCGCCGAACCAGTGCCAGGACAACTGCATTGACCCGCCGGCCAGGGAGACCCGTAGAAACGGTTGTTCCGCTGGCCGCCCGCGGTACAGTACAGGGGCCCAAGCGTGCTTAACCAGCTCGTGAGGCTGCCTCACCATACCGCGCATAATCTCGGTGTGGTTCGTCGTGCCGGTTGGTGACCGGGAGGTGGGATCCCGGCGGCCATTCCCGGGGGGGGTTCGGGGGCCCTTCCGTCCGGCGGATCAGCGCAATTTGTCTGTAGGCAAGTCTCTGGGGAAGCAGGCCCCGCGATTTGACCGCTTGTGTCGCGGCACTGTTTTCTCGCTTCACGCCTCTTTTTCCCTCCAACATGTTAGCGCAAAGTACAAATTTCGGTCGTACAGCGGTGCACACCCCCACCACTAAAGCGCTCTTTAAGGTGGAGTTCACGAACATTCGAGGACTCCACAGTAACATCCACGCCGTCCACCAACATCTTGAGACGGCTCGACCAGAAATGCTGTTCCTTACGGAGACGCAAATACTCTGCCCGGCTGACAGCAGCTACTTGAATTACCCTGGCTATATGCTTGAAGAGTCCTTCAAAGCGAAAGCTGGGGTCTGCTTGTTTGTCCGGGCAGATGTTTGCTGTCGCCGTCTGCGTCATATTTCATGAAATAGACAGATGTCTTGAGATCAAGATTGTTTACATTTAGTAGTTAACCTAAACAAATGCACTATAACCCAGTCGTAGATTTGTGGGTAGGTTAATGCTTTTATACATTTAGTCGAATTGCTTTCATAATTTAGGGTTGATCTAAAACCGTCTTTGGTCACTAGCGCATTAAACAACTATTTATTCGACTCTTGAAACACAAAATACAACAAAAAACAGTCACGCTGAGTTACATATACCGCTGGAATCAGCTAATGTTTCAGATTCCTACGGTATATATAACTCAATATGTCATTTTGAAGCGACGATATTATGTCAAATGCGATATTAATTTTCAACACGCTATATCAGTGGCTTTTAACGTCCTTTGCTTTTTGTGTAAACGTTTTTGTTAAAACATCAGCGAACATAGAGAGCAACAAAGGAGCCAGTATCACAAAGGCCATTGACAAAAAGTTTGAATTCAGTCCTCTTTTTATGAATATTTTCATTACATCAAGCCCCTTTACGTCGAGATCTTTTATGTCGAGATCTTTTACGTCGAGACAGTTTACGTCGATTCGCTGTTATAAGTACAGTGGAAAATAAATTTAATGTAGTTGAAATTATTTCATTATCATTTTAGTCCCACTTCGTAAACAATTGAATGAATGAATGAATGAAGTATTATTTATTGGACATCAAAATTACAATGACAACACAGAATATTTGTTACGTACTTCGAAACTTATACAATATTTGTCACTGTATCATGACTATATGTAGTCAGTTTTCGGGACGATATTGTTAATATAACTAATGTTATTATTCTAAGTTGCAATAATTATATAAATTTGAAATTATTTACAAGGATAACGGTTATTTATCTGTGATTTTTAGAAAGTATCTATTGTAGGAAAATAAAATTTGTCTATACACGGTTATTTGTTTGGGCTTTTGTTTCAATGACTTATTTACAAAACATAATAAATTTCCATAAAATAATATTTTGAGTTACATACGTAATTTAATCTGATAACAGACATAATTAATTATAATGGCAATGTAAAATAAAAATAATGTTAAACAACAATCAGTGCTCACCGCGACATTCATATATCTTTTTGTGCAATAACTCCACTACTTTGCTATAATCATTAATACAAAGATAGAGCACAAAGAAAAATTCTTTCGAACAGAGGACTCGAACCTGCGACCACGGAATTCCGTCCCCTGGGGACATAATAATAAACAATAGCAAACACTCAGTGCTTTTCTTTTTTGTTTTGACAACCATGACAAACTTGACTTAGAGGGAAGCGTAAACGTTATGATTATCGTTGTACTGACTCAATATAAGGTTAGGTTAATATGATTTGTACAGCGTTATACACGATAATAGCAGCCCCTATGTTCGACTTCTTTTTGCACCGCTACAGTACACATACATATCTGGGTGTTAGGCAGTGTTGCGACTCTGCTGTTTTTATTCTCTTTTTTTTATTATATTACATATATTTTTCTGTCATGTACGAGGGTCAGCTGAAAAGTAATCTCTTTTGACTATTTTAAATTCAAATTAATACAGGCGAATAAAAATGCTTGTGTTAATTTTTTTTACTTCTATGCGGAGGGAGGGTGGCATAATTAACTGCATGAAAAAATATTCAACACAAGCGCAGCTATTTTGCACGATTTAACCTTCACCGGGTTCGCGGAGTAGCTAAATAATTTACTTCCATTTTTATTAACATGGACTTCCGCAAGTAACCCTTGAATCTATTAATTACATAATACAGGCCACTAACGTGACGCATTCGTTATTTGTTCTTTTTTCAAAATTAGTGACCCTCTTTTGTTTATTACGTTTCGCTTTGAATGGACAAAATGGCGGAAGAAAAAAGCAAAAGTTTTACAAATAGTAACAAATTTTTTTAACAGAGTATTCACCCTTTCTAACAAACATAATAAGCGCATTTCCTATTTCTATTTCATTTTCATCTTAGAATAATATCTATAGTTTCATATCAAACGAACTGTCACAAGTGAGGCAAAAATCAAATTCATGTAGGCTAGTTTTAGTAGTAGGTTAATTTTCGGTTTTAGTAAATATTTATATAAAAATACAAGTTGAAACGCATTACTTCCTTGTGGAATGTGATGATAGTATCTATTTTATGTTTGTCTGACGTATGTTTACACTCATTTACCGCACATTTCGTCATTTTTAGCTAAAATTCTGGAGCTGTTCGCGGTGCAAGTTGACCTTGAGCACTGAAGGCCCGCCCGCTCGTGTAGGCCCTTTGGGAGCGCTTCAATTTGCCTCACTTAGCATGTGCGGGCTAGGTTTCTATGCGTTATTATTCTAAGATTTTCATACTGAAAAAAATGTAGCAATTGTCGTCTTTTACTTCAAACTTTGGTAGGTTACTTTTCAGTCGCGCGCAGGGTGTCTGTAGACTCAAACAAACGTTTTATCTATCTACTTATAAAAATCAAACTACCGATTGCAAAAGTAACATTTGTAATGTTTTAATTCCAGGATTAGCAGTGGTAATTCTTCCATATCATCGCCACATTTTAACTCAAAACTGCATCGTGTGCAAGGTTTGCCAAAAATCGCAAGACGATAAAGCCATATATGTCATCGACGCTGACGACCGCAGACTACTCAAATCGAAGCATAAAGATGATTTTGACGAAATTGGAGGGCCGACGTGGCGCGACGATGAACATCTAAAAGAATGGCATTACGATGACGAAACAAATTCATGGCACAAAAGCAATAAAGAACCAAAGCCACGCGAGAAGAAAGAGAAAGAACCAACGCACAAAAATAACGGCGAAGTCCAACTATGGCGCAAGAACGACAGGACTATTAAAAATTCTGAGAAAAGTGATATGGTTAATCTTTCCAATAGGAGTCATGATGACGTAAGGCGTAATAACGAACTACAATTATGTCGCCCAGAAAATGATATAACCTACATAGAAGGCACGATGGGAAATAACGAATTAGAATACTGCAGCTTTGAGAGTCTGGAAGCTATTTCCCAATGACAGTTAATTCTTGTCTCATTGTTCACTTCGTCTATATCAATATTGGTTTCTGTGCTTTGGTTTTGGTATTATGGTTATATTTCTTTGCCACATATGACGATGGACATTGTTATCTGACGGTTATAGGAATTTTAGCGTTGTTCGAAACCTATTAATTATTATTTACCGGTACTAAGAATGTGAGCACTCTTATTTACCGGTATTAATGTCTTAGGAATTATCAATCGGTATGAAGACTTGGCGCTGTAATTTACTCATATTAAGATTCTTACAGCGGTTATCTACCGGTATTAAAACTATACGCTGTTTTTACCGGTATTGCGGTCTTAGCACTGTTATCAATCGGTATTAAGGCTCTTGCCACTGTTATCTACCGGTGTTAAAACTTGGCGCTATTATTTATCGGTATTAAGACACTTAGCGCTGAATATGTATGTTATGAATTAAAAAACACCACATATTTATGTACATAATTATAACATATTGAAAGGAAACGTGATATTGTGAATGTTTATGATTTGTAGTGACTGTGATTTGTGATATAAAAAGGAATGATTCGATGGTTCATATAGAATTATAGAGTAATGGCACAATTGTATAGATAGAGTCAATGAGGATGGAAATGTGGGAATAGTTTCATTCGGCATACTTAATCTGATTATAATGTTAAAAAAAGGATTAAAAGTGGTAAGAATACCGACCCAGTATAAGATAAATGGTCCCAATTCCAACCTGTTCGCTGCGTTATTATTTTAGTTTCATTCATTCATTCATTTATTTGACACACATTTCAATAGTTTGTTCTCTTGTTCGAATAACCATAAATACAAATAAACACGTCTACTATTTGATGTCATTTTTTAAACACCTAGCGAACGCTTCAATTTTATAATGAAAGGCGCTTGTGACGACCTGCGGGTCGTGAAGCTACGCAACGTGAGTGCAACTCGAGATTATGGGAATGTGTGCGTTCGTATAAGGCGCGCGACAGGCGTGCACACATAAAAGAGTTACACTATTTGTCTTGCCAGGGATGACCTACGGCTTTGAGACATGGTCACTTACTATGGTCCTCATAATAAAGCTCAATGTTACTTAACGAGCTATGGAGCGAGCTATGCTCGGCATTTCTCTACGTGATCGAATGAGAAATGAGGAGATCCGTAGAAGAACGAAAGTCACCGACATAGCTCAAAGGAATCCGCAAGTTGAAGTGGTAATGGGCAGGGCACATAGCTCGTAGAACTGGCTGCCTTTGGGGCAGAAAGGTTCTCGAATGAAGACCACGAACCGAAAGGCGTTCAGTGGGAAGGCCTCCTCCTAGATGGACGGATGCCCTGGTAAGGGCGGCGGGTAACCGATGGATGCTCGTCGCGTCCGATCGGCAAGTCTGGCAATGTTTGGGGGAGGCCTACGTTTAGCAGTGGACGTCTTCTGGCTGATATGATGACTACTTGTCTTGTTATACTATGTTTGTAGTCTCTGGGAGAAAAGCATGATAATATCATGGATCAATAACTCGAGAGGGCTGCTAGTCGCGATACAAGACCGCGTAGTCGGGTATTTAGTACCTATTGGTACACCAGATGTCGCGACTAGTACCGAATAGCTATTTTTGTAATTAATTAATTTTATGTTGATGAGCTGCAAATTATCAAAGCTACCCTAATTCCTAATGATAACAAACAATTCAACTAGATGGTGCTTAATGCATTGATTTTTATGGATACTACCGGCTATTCTTTTTATTTGTTTATGATTAACGTCATCTACCTATATTAGTAAGCGTTAATATATAAATTAGTTTTTAACACAGTGCCATGTATTAACACGCATATTTGTCAAAGTTCAGAAAGTAATTTTAGCTCATAGTCAGTATTTGAATTATATTACAAGAAAAAAACTGACTACGTACATTTGATATTAAAGAGGAATTAACTACTTTTTGGTTAGCGCCATCTAGATCTAAGACGGAAGTTTGATCTTTTAAGATATTAGCAGAGAGAGATTAGCATATCTTGAGTTATATACATTATATATATATATATATACACACAACTGAGAAAATAATAAACACAAAGTATAGTACGAAACAAAGCTAATACAGCGTTCTTAAGGTCCGTAGAATTTTGTCATATTATTTACCACATGCTTTTTTAATCATTTTTGTCACTTCCCTATTTATCGAATTATGACACTATTATTGCGACTGCGATGTGTTTGATGGTAAAGACGTTTACGTATTGTCTATGTTTATATCTGGTGCCCGCGAATTCCTAGAATAAGTACTAACATACTGTACAACTTATTATTTACTTTTGTGAGTAAAAGTAGCCTATGTTCTCTCTTAAGTCCCATCTATTTCTATAACAACATTTTACAAGTGTAATATCATTGCTAACATTCATCAAAATTGGTTCAGCGGTTATCTTAGGCCCAATTTACATTGCGATGGAAAGGAATAGAAGCGAATTTTTGTAACAAAATTGTATATAGCAAAATGAACATTATATCAATTTTGTAAGGTACAAATTTGATACGAGGCAAGAAACAAGTCGCGTTTTCCGACGATTTCTTGCACATGCTCGGGAATGCTCGCGCATTCGCGGGAATTTCCGCAGCTGACATCAAACGCCGCCGATATACGATAGCCTCAAGGATCAGTCGTGAGATAGCTCGCGAATGCTCGAGCATTCCATCCAACGTGCGCGCCCTCTCGCGCAGCAAGGCGAAATTGACGCTTCCATTCCGCGCCAATGTAAATTGAGCCTTGTGCATTTGTCCAAGGATACGACATAAGACGTACTATCTGGTTTATGGCAAATATTGATCCGACAATCAACTGAGGTTGTAACAAGAGACTGTAGTCTAGTTCGCATACAGGCACACGATATAAATACGTGGGGCGCACTATAAGTTCCCGGAATGAATAAGAAAAAAATACTTTAGATGGTCAATTAATTTATTGTTTCTCAAAATATTCTCCGTTAGCGTTAATGCTCTTTTTCATACGAATGAACCAATTTTGAAAACATTTGTGCCAGGTGATGAAAATCGTTGACCATGTAACTGGTTCTCAATTTTTGGAAATAAATAAAAGTCACAAGGTGCCAGGTCGGGACTGTACGCGGTATGGCTCATAAGGTCAACGTTGTTCACCTTCAAAAATTCATTTGTCTGTAAGGCCATGTGAGAACTGGCATTATCGTGGTGCAAGATGATACGGCGTTTACGGGTATTTTTACGGAGTTTGTCAATAACTTCCGGCAAACAAATAGTCGTGTACCAATCACTATTCACGGTACAACGATTCTCCAAAGCAACAGTAGCCACGTGTCCAGTTTTATTAAAAAAAGAAGCAATCATCCGCTTAAAGGCACTTTGCACGCGCGCCACTTTGGTTGGTTTCGACTCACCTCGAAAGGCCCATACGCTCGATTGCTGCTTTGTTTTGGAATCGTAACTATAAATCCATGTTTCGTCACCTGTTACTATGTCCCACACCAAATTTGACGCCCCTACATTGAATCTGGTAAGCATGGCATTAACCAAGGGACGCGATCCATTTTTGAGCCTCTATGTAAGGTATAGGTATTAAGCTCTAGTAAAGTGTGCAGTGGCGAAGGGCCTGTCTAATACGATTGCAATTGACTTACTTGAAAAGTGTAGTATAGTTTGTCTATTTTGAAGACGGAGTAAAATGACATTTGCAGGGTTGCCAGTTATCACAAAATTTTAGATAGATTGTGAAAGAAAGTAAAATATTGCCAAAAACGTTTGAATTGTGAAAGTTACGACGCTCTAATGACTATTAATTGCATTATTCCATTTTATTGTTATTTTGACAGTTAGATTCAACTCCCACTGGCGCAGAGTCGAAGCATCGCGTCGCGTCCTGTTTTTCAACTACAACGCCTGGCGACGCGCGACGACGCCCGCATTAGTGCGCCCGGATCACAGTGTGGTCGGCGTCCGACGCCTCACTGCGCCTAAGTAATCGCTCGACTTCAACCAAATGTCGACGCGCGAATGCGCGTGTCGTCACGCGTTTCTAGATTTCCATAGAACAAATTTGTACCTTAATAATGGGAAAATAGAGATGAATATGCTATAGGCGAAAAACACGACGCGTCGCGACGCTTCGGCTCTGCGCCAGTGTGAGTTGATCCTTAATCTGCTAGTATCGAAATGGTTTTTTATTCATATACACTTAACGAGGAACGAGCCTGTCACTTAATTATTTGTATTGAATTATAATAAAATACTTTAAAATATGTGTCTCCTCTATATTTTTAATACGCATTAACTTACGAAAATTGTCAATTCAAATGAACCTGTGCCCAGCAGTTGAACGAATAATGGGCCTATGATGATTCAAATTAGAAGTATCGATAGAATATTTATCGACTGCAATCACTAGGTACTTGCAAGCAGGCAACACTTGCGCAATAAACTAATTTTATTCTGTATTAAAAAAGGACAGACTGTAGTAGACATTGATCGGCAAATGTTTTTGCACTGTAGCATTAGCTGTTTACCATCCACATGGGTTAAAATAATCTTTATTTCATAGGTAAGCAAAATACAGATAGGCAAACTAAATGTAATTATAACTACAAATTTAATTTTGCTAGGAAAGTAGTTTATAATTAAATTTATTTGTACTAGTAGCTAGTTAAACTCATATGCAAAATGTAGTGTAACTACAAATTACTTTGTAGTTTTTAATATTGAAAGAACATAGCCCGGAATTTTGTATTCTTAGTTAAATGGCGCTTGTGCCAATTTAAAAGGCCAAATTGACTTAACTTTTATAATCATATTTACCAACAATTTAGTATTTTAGAGTACTTATATATGCGTGGTGTAAAACAAGAAAACTATGCGACAGTTTTAATTCATCCGCGCCTTAGGTAGCAGGAAGAGGGGGAAGGGGAGGGGATGCATACCGTCACTTGATTTTTCACTTTAAATTACAGACCAAATTTAACGGAATGAACGCAGTTGAATTACACACGCGTAATTTTGTTTTGACATGACAGCAATAGAATGCCTTGTGAAAGAGTGTCCGATTACTGCCACCAAGCAGTAATATTAGTATTACTGCATTCCGGTTTAGAAGGCTACAAGAGTACTGGTGAAATTACAGCCACACGAGACTTGTCAGTAGCAGTGCCCCAACCTTTTTGTGATTTAAAGCTCTGAGTGGCACTGCAACTGGTATGGACAGGCGTGTCGCTTGCCATCAGGCGCGAGAGTGGTTCGTTCCCTCACTTGATTAAAAAAAGTGCGACGCTAGTTGACGGTTTTAATGTATTATAATTGTATTTCTCGTAAGGGACACGCGCTAATGTGTGTGTGTGTGTGTGTGTGTGTAGATCTAGGGTTAGATTAAATCGAGAAAGTTGGCCCGGCCTTTTT